AGAGAGAGAGAGAGAGAGAGAGAGAGAGAGAGAGAGAGAGAGAGAGAGAGAGAGAGAGAGAGAGAGAGAGAGAAAAAGATGCACAGAGAGAGAGAAAGAGAGAGAGAGAGAGAGAGAGAGAGAGAGCAAATAAATATTATTTAATTTTCTTTTTATAAAATGGAGATGGATTGTACTTCGTGGTTATTATGCCTTCATGATTTTGCACGCTGGTCCTGACTTGAATTGTGTTCTTCTTTCTTTGTTCTTCGCATTCTTCTTTTCTTTCTCCTCTGTCTCTCTCTATCTATATTTCTCTATCTCTCTCCCTCCTTTCTCCCTCTCTCTCTCTCTCTCTTTCTCTCTCCAACGACCATTTTGTCAAAATGGATTTTTTTAAATTTTTTGAACGAAATTGAAACCGAGTTTTTTGGTCGAAAACTCGTCAAACTTTGTTGTTCCTGAGGGTCCAGCGTTTTACAAACGCTGGACCCCCTGGCTATACATGGACCTAGCTTGAGACCAGGCACCTTCAGGCAGTCCTGCTTGGAGGTGCCTGGTCTCAAGCTAGGTCCATGTACAGCCAGGGCGTCCAGCGTTTTACGAACGCCGGACCCTCAAGAACAACAATTTTTGACGAGTTTCGGGCCAAAAAACAAGGTTCCAATTTCGTTCAAAAAATAAAATATGTCCATTTTGAAATCGAGTGTCCTGGTAAGTCTATCTCTACTTCTGTCTTTACTTCCACCTGAAGTTCTACCAGAAAGATGATGACTGTAGTAAGGTTAGAGAGCAGTGAGAACTAGAACAAAGGAGTTAAGGTGGGAGCGTCAAGCCAGGAAAGGGGGGGGGAGGGAGTCATAGAGAGGAGGTAAAGTTTTATTCGTCAATTCATTCAACCACGTAATCTCTAGATTTACAGTATGAGTTGTGGAGCTATTTCAACCAAGGACATAAATCCAGGTTTGCTTTCGAGTTAATATTCACCAACCAGTTAGCTGACCTACTACAAGCCCATGTCTTGCGGAACCACCCCATACCCTTCTTAGACGCCTGGTGTCGGTCCATCCTTCTGCTCCAGTCCGTCTTAATATAGTGGCTCAATCTTACGTGAACTTGGTTTTTAATCTCTTCATCTGTCGTGCCTTTATTCTCAAACACCGCTTTGTTTCTGTTGTCCCAAATGACTGAGCAGATGATGGTTCTGCAGGCCTGTACAACATATCCGCACCCTTCCCCTGTTGATGTCATGGGAGGGCCTAGTAGCCCCGGGAAGGCCTACGATTTGTTCCATTCCCAGTCCCAGGCTGCGAAATCCTTCCAATGGAGTTCCCACCATCCTCATATCCGTCTCGAAGCTGGGCAGTCCCACCATAGGTGAGTCGTTGATTCAAATGGCCATGTGCATCTGCCATATTTGATCTGGATGTTCATACCCTTTCCTACTAGCCAGAGTGTTGATGGGGTGACTAACAGAGAGAGAAGCCAGAGCAACGCAGCATGTCTCTGAGAAGGTAGGAGCTTGAGTTGGTTCCAGAACCTCTTCATGCTGCAGAGCGTGATTTGACCCGATCCTGCGATATGTGCCTCCCATCTTTCGGCTGCTACTGCAATCGGGCGTCTGGTGGGTAAGTTCAACTTCGACGTTTCTTTCATATGGGAGAGCGGCAGCATATCTCCCTCTCTACCGAATCCCCTCCAGCCCCAGGCCACTAGCCCGCGTGACCAACAACCCTCTCATCCCGGTTGGGCGTGTTAGCCACCCATGTTCACCGACACCGACATCCGACATCCACACACTTCTCGGAAAGTCTGCGAAGTTCGGATGTCGGCGAGCTTGGTCGGTGTGCTCTGACGACAGCGGACTTCAACGTCGGTTTTGGTGCAGGGGCGGCACGAGCTTCGAACAACGCCACCCTGTGATTCCCGTACGACATGCCCACAGTCTAAGTTCGTCGGAATCCGGACTTCACAAATTCTTGTTGCGTTACTGGCGCAGATGCCCGGGTGCTGAATAGCTTCAGTCCCGATGTGTTTGTCGTCCGACCACCTACAAGAAGTGTCAAACAGTCGTTGGTTGCCTTTGCGGATTGCCAAAAGCACTCTTAGGGGACCTTGGTGCAGGGTCTGGATCCATTTGGCACAGAGTTTCATGTTGCCTGGACAGATCTGGGGTTTGGCTGCCACAAGGTGTCGGTTGGTGAGCCTTTTTGCTGGATCTAAATCCGTTTCGAGCAGATTTCCGCACTCCACAAACAAAATCCCTCTCCAGTTTCCGCAGGCTATCAGTTGTCCGGGCAGTCTTTCGTAATGCTTAAACGCAACTGGGGCGAGTTTGGTGGACCTTCTTGTTAGATCTGGATCTGTTTTGAGCAGAGTTTCGCACTCCACAAACAAAATTTCCCTCTAGTTCCTACAGGTTATCAGTTGTTCGGGCAGTCTTTCGTAATGCTCTAACGCAACTAGGGTGAGTTTGGTGGGCTTTTTTGTTGGATCTGGATCTATTTTGAGAAGAGTTTCGCACTCCACAAACAGAATTGCCCTCCACTTCCTGCAAGTTATCAGTTGTTCGTGCAGTCTTTCGTCATGTTCAAACGCTACTGGGGCGAGTTTAATGTGCCTTCTTGTTGGGTCTGGCGTGTGAACGACAGAGTCTAGCAGTCGACAAACCGGCTCACACTCCGTAACATCGCACGTCGTTATCAGTCTGTGATAGTGTCAGGCAAATTCGTCAAGTTCGTCGGTATCCGAACTTCGCACAAAGAGTGAAAACGGATGTGAAGAAGTGCGGATGCCGACGAACTTGTCAACTGTTCGTGCAGTCTTTCGTCAATGACATGTTCAAACGCTACTTGGGTGAGTTCAGTGTGTCTTCTTGTTGGGTCTGGACATGTGAACGGCAGAGTCTAGCAGTTGACAAACTAGCTCACACTCCGTAACATCACACGCCGTTATCAGTCTGCGAGAGTGCCCGACGAATTTGTAAAGTTCGCCAGTATCTGAACTTCGCACAAAGCATGAAGATGATGTGAAGAAGTGTGGATGCCGCTTTCCTCTCGAACTTAGGGTGGCGGCGAACTTGAACAATTCTGAAACCTTATGCACATTCAACGAGTTTGGTGTGCCTTTGGTGGTGCGTAACATGTGGTCCGCCGGAATCCGAAGTTCTCTAGTGGGGCAAACTATTAATGTCTTCCGTGTGTTGGATTGTTTTGGTTTCTTGGACCAGTGCAGACACAATGTCCACATCAAGGGGCGAGGAGCAGCTGACCGGAACCTTGAGGAGGGAATCAAAGACCTCCAAACAGTGGTCCTATCATGTGCATACCAAATGGTTCATCGATTGGTGTTGCGGGAATGAGTCCGAGCCGACCAAACCTCTGTGCGGTCCTGTTATATTCCTCGAAGGAAAAAAAAGGTGTACAGTGCTTAGGGCGGTTGCTGGATGGCACCCTGCGAAAAAGGAAAACACACAACATTATAAGTTCCACACTGTTTACAGTTCGAAGGGCTACGTTGTTGCCAATTTCAAAGGGCCAGTTTTATCTTTTGAGTTGTTCAAGGGGTTTGGTGAGGGGGCTATGAAGACCCGTTTTTACCAGGAGCTCGCAGGGAAAGGTATTGTTTCGACATAAGAATTTTTTGACTTGGTTGAGCAGAAAAACATCGACCTGGAGGAACCCTGCCATGTTCAAGGCGGCGAAGAGCTGTTGCAGCCTCTTCAGATGTGCACCGGGTTCGAATCCAGCGGTGCCTCCGCGGAAGGGGGAGATTTGGGTTTCGGTGCTTCTTTCCAACTCCACCGGGGCGAGGTTCGTGGTCAATTCGACAACAACGACAATGAAGAACAGAAGCAGATGCGGACTTCGCCACTTAGGCGGGAAGACCAGTCTATCCTCAGTATCCTTGGGGTGAAAGGAGACACCCCGGTTCACGACCGGTCGTCGACGTTAGCCGAGGGGGGCGAGGAGGATGAACAACAGTCTGTGCATAAGAGAAGGGGAGGTCCTCAGGAAAAGGGTGCGGGTTCTGCAAAGAAACATAAGGCAAATACCCCCCAAACGTCGGGAGGAAAACGAAGGGAGTTGAGGGGCAAGAGGGCACATCGGGTCGGAAATGTCCGACGTCGGCGCTGAAACAGCCTTAGTCGGGTGTTGTCACGCCAAAGGCTCCCATCGACATCGACGCCTCGTACTTCCTCGAATGGAAAGACGGCGTGGGGACAAAGCGGAAGTTGTTCATTAGCCCGTCACGGGTCGTCGACATCTGTGAGTGGGAAGCCTCGTAAAACCAGCGGTCCCTGGATCCCGTGCACACACAACGCATCATTGATGCAATGAAGATGGTATTCTAAAAAGTCGAGAAGACGTACGAGTTGCCTACCCTTAAGAAGTTGACGCTACTCGGATAAGAGAAACCTGTACGGGGCATACGGGCAATTCGTCTGAAGCCAGAGGACTAGAAGGACGAGCTGGCAGACGAATACTATTATTACGTTGTTTCAGGGCAAAGCACAACGCGGCTGCAGCCAAGGCGCTGCTCGGCATTGACGTCGCGTTAAGGTACAACTTCGAGAGGTGGCCTGCACGTATGGTTTACTTCTCGGACGAGGAGTTTGAAGGGTATTTTTCTGGTCATCTCGGAGGACAACAAGAAGGACTTGAATGCACCTCCAAGACAGCTAAAACTGTCAATGAAGAGTATTCGGTGGCTGTGGAAGGAAAAGGGTTTCCCAATAGCTGTTATGGGGAACCCCAACGGGAAACAAGCTCAGGTGCAGAAATGGCATGAGTTTTGTGCTCAGCCGCTTCACGAGATGCCTTACAACCACTTGTGGATTCTCGCTGATGAGATGGGTGAGGATAATATTAAGAGGCAGATCGCTGCCCTTCATTCCTATTTTCCTCTAGTGATGGTCAGGAAAAGCGTGTGGGAACTGGGTATGGAATTCTTTGACAATTGGGAGCCGGCGAGACTTCTCGCACCCGAGGGAGCGAAGTGGATCACAAAGAAAAAAAAAGTGAAGGGCGTCAGGCCCGACGTGAACCACATCGAAAACGAGAAGTTGGGGCGTAAGGAGGTCATCTACAACGTCCCCGATGACGTGCCCCAAAAGAAAGGCAAGAAGGAGAAAGAGCCTGGTGAGTGGTTCGTCGAAGTTACCGAACCGGAACCGCACTGTTGGAAGACTATGGAATCCCTTACCGACAATGAGAAATATCGGTTGCTCAAGAAGGTCCTCAACTGCGAGGTAGTGTGGGTGCAGATAGGCTCCGCTTCATTGGCGAAGCAAGGGAAGCTGGGAATGTAGGAAGCAGTGCATCTGGTGAAGTGCGATCGCATCTTGGTGCGATTGTGAAACTACTACGAGTTCAAGCACGAGAACCGACCGGATATGGACTGGCCACGTGCGTACCTCTTCCTGAAAAAACGGGAGGCGATTTTGGTAGAGTTCGAGAAGCAAGGAATGGATGTCGCATTGTGGGACGGGAGCAGGAAGCTCGATGGTGACTCCTTACTGTTTAAGGATTGTCCGTCGTACATTGGGTGAGAGGATGACAAGACGATTAAGGCGACGAAAAAACTCGCCCTCAACAAGAAGATGACCGTTGACTGGAAGAACAAGGTCCTCTCCGTGTTGACCGGCACTAGGGCGAAGAGTATGGAGTTCGCCCTTGCCGAAGGCATGGTAAACGTTTTGTGGAAAGACTCAGGGAACGTGACATCCATCGCCCCATTCGGCGTTGACCCTCTGGAGGCGCAGGTGAGGGTCACTAAGTTGGAGAAAGTGGTTGGAACCACTAAATGCCACATGTGCGTTCTCGATCTCTGCGAGCCGGTGGACTTAAAACAATGGACGACAAAAGCTTTCGAGAGTTTCAATTCCCTCCTAGAGCAATTGTTTCCATCACATTGGACGGTCGTCGTTTTCGTCCCCCGACAGTGGGGCTACTCCTTCATGACCAGCCTGCTCCATTTGCCCATTGTCAAGGCAATGACAGGGAAGTGGGTCAAGAGGGTGCAGCAAAAGAAAAGTTTTCCGGTTTGGAACAACTTGTACTCGGTTGACGACCGCATGTATATTTTTTTCAAAGGACGTGGTGACAATTTGCAGGAGAATACTTGTGTCGTTTACAATGCTAGGTTGTCGGTAGATGACGCTGCAGTTGTCAGGGCACATCAGAAAGTGACCCCGACAGACATATCGGAGATTCCCTTCGACCCTTGCGAGTGACCATTGACCATACCTGGAGTTGACAGGAAGGTGTTCAAGGAGATGGAGCGGAAACGCAATTGGTCAATCTGCTGGAATTCGTGTGCAAAAATGGGGAGGGTGTCATGTTCATTGGGAAGCTGCACACGCGAGTCGTGTGGGAGGTTTTGAAGAGCGGTCGACACGTGATCGCGCTGGAAGGAAACTCTGAGTTGTTGCAATATACATTAGAATTCCTCAAAAGCGAAGTTAACTCTGGTGCGAATTCATTTCGAGTAGCGAGAAACCAAAATGCGTTTGGGAACCGTCTACGGACATGTGGTTCAAGTTGAGCGAGCGGAAAAGGAACAGGATCTACGAGTTCCTCTTTTTGGAAACGCGGCCGAGGAGGGACAATGACGCTGAGTACATGCGCCGCAAGGACCACATTTTAGCGTTGCTGGATAACTACCACGACGCCTTACGCAGGAACGCAAACAACTTCCTCGACCGACTTGAGTGTTTGTACTTCCTCGAGTCCGAGCAGGTGTTGAAGCTCTAGAGGTATGGTGCCTTGATCTCCGCGGACGACGAGCTGGAGACAGGTGTTCTTTTTGATACTACAAGGTCGAAGGAGGACAACGACACCGAGGACATCAACCTCGATTACCACCCTGCTCTGGTGTTTCATGCACCAGGCCCCTCGTCGGCCGCTCCCTCAACAAGCCAGGCCACCCAGGCATCACCTGTGCCCAGGCCCACCCCGAGTAAGACCCCGAGTAAGTTGGTGGCGAGACTGACACCTCTGGGTGCCGCTCCACCTCCGTTGCGTCCCGGGAGTTCGGTTCTGCTGCATCATCCTTCTCGCAAAGATGACACCATTCACTTCGAAGGGCTCGACCACACTCGATCGAGTGAGGCGGACTGGGGCAATGACATGATTTGACACCCGGGAACTATCCAGCCGGCAATCAAGAAGGGAGAGTGGATCATGGCCCTCATCAACGACCAAGGGTTGTGGGAGCCATATTCACGCCATTCCAAGGTCGAGTACCTGCAACTCGCCAAGAGTTCTGTGGTCGATAAAGTGAGGTCCGAAAATTCCAACCTTCAACCCGCCAACCCAACGACCGATTCCACTGCTGAACGTCTGTTTCAAGAGCTTCACGACAACACGGACGAATTCTACGACCTTGACACGAGCCCTTCGAAGGGATGTCAGGTCCGGTAAGGAACTTGTGGCGAAGTCCACCGGCATCTGAACTACGTCGACCGAGGCACCGCGCGCAAGTGGAGCACCCGCTGACCTCGATACGTCGAAGGTTCCCCGGATCCGGACTTCTTCACAAAGGGGTCACAGACACGGATTGTCGTGCTGGCGGGAGGGGCTACGCGCATGGAAACAAAAAAGCGGTCCGTGAGATTCGACAAGGTTTCGGGAAAAGGAGCTGAATTGCAACGGAGGGATGGAGCGGAAGAAGGAGAGGAAGGGGGAGAAAAGGAGTTGATTCTTTTGCGTGAAGGAGAAAAGGTTGAACAAGGGGATTTCGATATTGAAGACGAGGACGGGTGGACAAGGAGGACGATGCTGGCAGTGAAGAGTCGTCTGACTCATTCGGGCCTATGTTGCACGCTGGCCGCGGCCGGGTTCGGCCTACGCCACGGCCGCCGGCCTAGGCCGAGACCCCCCCGACCGTGACCGCTTCGGCCGATAACTTTCGGCCGCGGCCGTGGCCGATCGGGGAGGGGGTTTTGGGAGAGGGGAGTGGGTTTTGAGTCGGGGGGAGCTCCCCTACCCACTCGCAAAAAAAAAACCATAAAAACTTCAAAAACGGGGGGGCGGATAATTTTGG